GTTCGTCCAGCCACACCCTGCTCATCCAGCTACCCCCCGGCTCATCTAGCCCCTGCCTTGCTCGTCCACGCACCCCCCTCCCACTTGTCTAGCCCGCCCCCAGCTCATCCAGCCACACTCCACTCATCCAGCTACCCCCGGCTCATTCAGCCCCCTAGCTCATCCACACACCCTCCGCTTGTCTAGCCATCCCTCCGGCTCCTCCAGCCCCCCCACCTCCTCCAGCCATCCCTCAGCTCATCTAGCCCTCCCTCAGCTCATCCACCAACCCCCCCCGGCTCCTCCAGCCACCTCCCAGTTGTGCAGCTAGCGCCCCACATCAGCTCATCCAGCCACCCCCCCACAGCCGTACCCTGCCCCCATCTGCCCTGCGGGCACACCCACGGGTAAGGGGCTCTGTGGGTTGGGATTGGGAGACATTGACTGAGCAGTGTGAGGGAGGCCAGGCTAGGGTAGCAGGGGGCTGCGGGTCGGGATGGAGGGGCATTGGCACGACTGTGTGTGTGGGGAGTCAGGGCTGGGATAGCAGAGTGCGGGGAGCTGCGGATTGGGGCAAGTGAGCTGGGCAGGGGACGTTTGTGACCAGCTTCCCGCCCCGCAGTGAGTGCCCCGGGAATTCCCCACTTGCCCCCTGCCGGTGGCCCTTTCTGTGCTGGGCGTGTGAGGGGCAGCAGCCAGGCTCCTGGGTGGGACTTTCCGCGGGGAGCATCCGTGCTGTGCCAAGCAGCCCCAGGCCCAGGAATCTGCCCCGGCCTGGGCCACTGGCTGCGACCGAGCTGAGCACGGGGCCAGGTGGGGGGGCTTCTGCCCTCTGATTGGTCCAGCAAAGAGCCAGCAAACTCCGTCCATCCAAAGTGAAGGCTAATCAAGGGGGCGCTGTGGAGAGCGGGGTGGGAGCGCTGGCTATGGAGAGGGGAGCTCCCACCACTGCTCCCCCTCACTGTCCCCCCTCCCCGCCCAGGTACCAAGCACAAAACCATCCTGGAGGCGCGCAGCGGGCTGGGACCCATCAAGGCATACCCACGGCTGGGCCCCACGGCCAGCGGGGAGCCAGGCAGCCAGGACCCCAATGCTCAGGAGCGCACCTTCCACTGTGAGATCTGCAATGTCAAGGTCAACTCGGAGATCCAGCTCAAACAGGTGGGGCACTTCTGGGGACCCCCATGTCCTCCCAGCCTCCCCACCCTGCCATCACTTCTCCCCCTTAGCCCCTGCCCCTTGGGCATGTGGGGTGGGGGTAGGCTAGTCTCCCACGTCGGGAAGGAGCCAGCTCCTGGCTCTGATCCCAGTTGGGGGTGCTGGGAGACACTGAGTCCCAGCTCTGAACCCGGGCTGGAGTCAGGACTCCTGGGTTCCATGCCCAGCTCTGGGAGGGGAGCAGGGTCTAGCACAGGGGTAGGCAACCTATGGCACGCGAGCTGATTTTCAGTGGCACTCACACTGCCCGGGTCCTGGCCACCAGACCGGGAGGCTCTGCATTTTAATTTAATTTTAAATGAAGCTTCTTAAACATTTTAAAAACCTTATTTACTTTACATACAACAATAGTTTAGTTCTATATTATAGACAGATAGAAAGAGACCTTCTAAAAACGTTCAAAGGTATGACTGGCACGTGAAACCTTAAATCAGAGAGAATAAATGAAGACTCGGCCCACCACTTCTGAAAGGTTGCCGACCCCTGGTCTAGCAGCTCAAGGCAGGGCTCTGACTCTCTCCTCTCCCCCCCAGCACATTTCCAGCCGGAGACACCGGGATGGGGTAGCCGGGAAGCCCAACCCCCTGCTGAGCCGGCACAAGAAGCAGCGCAGCTCAGCCGAGCTGGGGGTGAGCTGAGAGGCCGGGGAGGGGGTCTGGGGGGGTGAGCTGAGAGGCGGGCGGGTGGGGGTGAGCTGCAGGGCCGGCTCCAGCTTTTCTGCTGCTCCAAGCAGACAAAAAAAAAAAAAAAAGATGAGTGGCGGCACTTCGGCGGCCGCTCAAACGCGCCGCTTCTTCAGCGGCACTACGGTGGCGGGTCCTTCGGGAATGAGGGACCCGCTGCCGAATTCCTGCCGATACCGGACGGACATGCCGCCCCTTTCAATTGGCCACCCTGAGCACCAGCTTCCTTAGCTGGTGCCTGGAGCCAGCCCTGGTGAGCTGAGGCAGTGGGGTGGGGTGAGCTGAGAGGTGGGGGTGAGGGTGAGCTGAGAGGCAGAGGGGAGTGGGGGTGTGACCTGAGTGGCGGTGGTGTGGGGGGAAGTAGGGCGGGTGAGCTGAGAGGCAGGGGGTGGGGGGAAGTAGAGGGGTGAGCTGAGAGGCAGGGGGTGCTCCCTTCACCTTGCTAGGCCCAGCCGCATAGAGAATTGGGACTGGTCACTGGAGGGGGGCTGGAGCTTCCTAGGAGTGCAGGGGCCAAGGGGGCAGGAGCACCATGGCGAGGGCGGGGGTAGTTGGAGAGAGAGATTCCATGGACAGATGGATGGACGGACGGACAGACAGACGGGTATTCTGGAAGCCACGGACACGGATGGGTGCCATAGACCAGTGGCTCTCAAACTTTTTTACTGATGACCCCTTTCACATAGCAAGCCTCTGAGTGCGACCCCCACCTTATAAATTAAAAACACTTTTATATATTTAACACCATTATAAATGCTGGAGGCCAAGCGGGGTTTGGGGTGGAGGCTGACAGCTCGCGACCCCCCATGTAATAACCTTGCACCTTGCGACCCCTTGAGGGGTCCCGACCCCCAATTTGAGAACCCCTGCCATAGACGGATGGATGCAGCGGGCAGACAGCCGGAGGGCAGCTGACAAACAGGGCCGGCTTTAGCAGGTGCAGGGCCCATGCCCGGACGCAAATTGTCTCGCGCCCCTCCTGCCCCAACTCCGCCCTGGCCCCGCCCCAACTCCGCCCCCTCCCTGCCATTGGATCCCTCCCCAAATCCCCACCCCTGGCCCCACCCCCAGCCCCGCCCCCTCACTGCCCCATTGGATCCCTCCCCAAATCCCCGCCCTGCATCTTCACCGCATTCCTCCTCCTCACCCCTCCCTCCCAGGCTTACGCTGATCAGCTGTATGGCGGCACAAGCGCTGGAGGGAGGGGGGAGAAGCAGGACGCGGCTTTTTTTTTCTGCTCCGCCAGCACCCCCGGACATTGCGGGGCCCTCTTAGGCGCGGGGCTCCATTCCAGGGAATCAGCCGAATCGGCTTAAAGCCGGCCCTGCTGACAAATATGGCCCCCGGTGCCCTCTGCACACCTTGGTCTTTCCTGGCCAGCCCCCATGGTTGGGCACCCCATGCACCCAGTGCTCTGTCTGTGGGTGCTCCCCAGCCCGGTGCTGTGTCTGTGGGCGCCCCTCCCCCCACGCCTGGCACTCTCTGAGGGCACCCCACCCCCACATGCCCGTCTCTCTCTCTTTCTGGGCACCCCCTGAGCCCGCCTCTCTCTCTCTTGCAGGGCCCCCTGGCCTTCCCCAAGGACCTGCCCAAGTCGCTGGCGGCCGGACTCCTGCCCAGCCCCTTGGCCATGGCAGCAGCGATGGCAGCCGCGGCCTCCGCCCCCCTGACGCTGCGCCCAACGCCCCCACTCCTGCAGGGGCCCCCCCTAACGCACCCACTGCTGCGTCCAGCCCCGGGGCCCATCAGAACTGCTCACGGGCCCATCCTCTTCTCGCCGTACTGACGCCCGCTGCTGTGCCCCTCGACGCCCACCTCTGCTGGACCCGCCCGGCGCCCACCCGAGCTCCCGGGAGCTTGGCGGGGGCTGGGTGGGGCTTGGGGCCTTTCGTTTGTGGCTTTTTAACTGGAATTCGGATCCTTTTTCCCCAGAAGAAAAGGGACAAGCCCATCCCCCGTCCGCCCCCCAGCTCCGTCCCCCCAGGACCAGCCAACTCTGCACAAGTGCTGGGCCCCCCGGGGAAGCGGCCGAGGGGACCCCCACAGCCCCCTTCATTGCTCTTTTCTCCCTGGTACCAAGGGTGGGGGGGATCTGAATCTTGGGAGAAGGACTGGGGAAGGGAGAAGCCCCCCCATCGGACTCCATGGAGTGTCAGGTTGGGGGGCGACCCCAGATCGGGGGGAGGGTCCCCCGGTACCTCAGGGAACTGATCGCAAGCAATCTCTTTTGTATCTCTCTCTCCGCGGGGAGGTGCCCCCGTCCCTCCCAGAGCTGGGGGGCTCCCTACAGCCCCCCCAGCAGGATCCACGCGGGGCCAGGGAGCCCTCCAGCCACACAAGCCATGTCCACTTGCACTGAGAGGTGCGAAGCTGGGAGCCCAGGGATGCCCATCCCCCCTGGGCTCACGGCCCGCCCGGCCCGCCAGGAGAACGGACACCATTGCAATAACGTTGGGGCCTGGGCCGCCCCGTGTACATAGCACCCCCCACCCTCCCCCGTGCTTCCTCCAGCTGCCACCACGGCCCCTGGCCAGCAGCCTGTGGCTCACACTGTGCCCCCCGCGCCCGCCCCTCTACCCTTCGGGGCAGGAGCTTTGTATCTAGAGGTAGCGCCCTTCCCCCCCCTCCCCCCGTCCCTCGGGAGCCACTGGCTGGGCCTGGCCTGAGCCCCCTGCCGTGCGGCCAGGAGGTTGAGGGGAAGCCCCAAGCTTGGGTGATTTTATCAGCTGTGCTGAGAATGAGGGGGATGTCCCAGCTGGCGGGAGGGAGGCTGGGGATGGCCGCCCCGTGGGGCAAGGCTGGATGGGGGCCCCCCCAAGCAACACCCTGTGGGGCACCTGCTCGGATGCTGCAGGGGCGGAGCCCTGGCAGGACCCTGGGGGTCTGATCCAAGTGAGGCAGGGGAACCCATCCTGGGCCGCGTGGGTGCCCAGCTGTCACCCTTCTGGGGCTGCAGCCCACACTAGGCCCTGCCCCCCTCTCCCCTCACAGCCTGAGGGGTTCAGCCCAGGCATTGGGCACAAGCTGAATCACCCTTTGCCCTGCCATGGGGCCCCTGCTACCCCAACAGGGAGTAGAGGTGGGGGTCCCTGTGCCAGGGAGCAGGTGGTGCCCCAAGTTCCAGCCAGGAACCCCCCCCCCATGTGTAGGGGGTCAGCTGGCCAGCCCCTAGCTCAAATACATGGGTTGGAGGGGCGGGGCTTAGGGTTTGCAGGAAATAGGGGGTGCTCCTTGGGGGCCAGGGGAAGGGATGGGGTGCAGCGGGTCCACAGGAGGAGATGGGGGCACATCGAGGGGTTGGGGCACATCAGGGGAAGGGATGTGTGGGGTGCCCATGGGGGGGTGGGTTGGGGAAGAGTGTGGGGATGGGAGGGGAAGGGCTAGAGTGCCCAGGGGAGGGGTGGGGGGGTGCCCAGGGAAGCTCCAAGTGCTGCTGGAAAACTGCTGCCCCAGACGCATACTTGTGAAGGGCTGTTGTGATGCTGTTGCCATGGCGGCCGCCCCCCAGCACGTCCCCATCCCCTCTGGGGCCACCCGAAGTCGCTCAGTGAGCCAGCAGCCTGGCCCCAGGCCCCTCAGCTTAGCCAGAGAGGCCAGGTCATTTCCTGGAGATTAACCAGCCTCCTCCCCTCCCCCACTAGGCCCCCCCAGCCGTTAAATCCCAGACACTCGTTAAATGCCCGGGGCTGGCAGTGCCAGGCTGGGGGGGGGGAGGGTTAATACCAAAACAGTCCCCCATCCTTACCTCGGCAACCCTGGGAACGCTGGCCTGGCCCCCATGGCTGCCCTTTTGTATGGTGCCTGGTGCTCCATTGATTGGGTGTCCCCCAGCAAAGGGCTTGTGTGACAGGCCAGCACCTCCCACCCCCCAGGTGTCAGTCACTGCCCCCAAAGACCTGGCTGCTAGAGGAGAATTGCCCCCCACCCCCAGCAGTGCGGGGCCCATGACACATGACACCTCAGCAGGCCCCTGGCCTGGCCACTTGCCCAAATGCAGCCTCTGATTGTCTGGAGAGGTTCAGCTCCCATGGCTCCCTTGACCCTGGGGGCAGCAGGGGATGCTGATCTCAACTGTGGGGCCAGGGACATCCGCTTCTGCCCCAGGCCCGGGGTGGGGGCTCGAACCAGCTTCCACCTCCAAGGGGTTGGCTGGGGGCTGATCTAGCCCTCGGGCCACCCCCTGCATGGTCAGGGACAAGGGGTCCTGCCCCTCTAGCTCCTTAGTTGTGGGGCAGGCACTTGATGGGGCTGGATGCTGCCATCCCCTCCCCCCTTCAGCCCAAGGTCTGGGAGGGGGGGGGGAATGCCTCAGAGCTCAGCGCCCTGGGACAATTGGGGGCTGGGGTTACGCTCCAGGCTAGACACCTGCTCCTGCCCAGGGCTCCTGAACCCCCCATGCTGCCCATACCCCTGCCGGCTCAGAGCTCAGCATCAGACCCCCCCAGCTCGCGCCTGCAATTCCCAACTCCGCCAGCAAAACTGTGATAAAGCAAAAGCAATAGACAAGGGGGGGGCCTCCGGCTGGGGGGGGGGGTCCGGGTCACACGCTCCCTGCATTACCTCAGCCAAGCACTGTCCTACGCGGGGCTCTCGGGTGAGATCCTGCACGCCCCCCACCGCCCTCCCAGGCTTTGCCTCCACCCCAAACGTCTCTCCCCATCCGTCCTGTGCTGGATTCTCGCCGTGACACTGACGTGTTTCCGCTCGAGCCCCCCGCACCCTGACAACAATAAAGTTCAAGGTTTGACTCCACAATGCCCAGGTTCGCTGTGTGTGTCTGTTGCTGCGCCGGCCCCTGTGCCCTATAGCGCCCTCCCTCACCACTCCACCCTGGCACTCCACAGGCTGCGCCCACCCAGGGCTAGAACCCAGGAGACCCCCAACCCCAGTACAGGAGGTGAAAGAGAATCCCTGCTAGCTGGGGACAGTGCATGGGTTATGACCCAGAATTGAGCACATCTGATTCCAGCCAGCAGAGGGCAATGGTGCCTACACGCATGGGCACATGCCCACCAGCCAGCTCATTGCCCGGCTAATGCCTGCCTGGCTGACATGCTTGTTGTGGAGTAGTGTCTGCGGGGAAGCATCCTGCATGAGGCTCGCAAACCTTTGCAGATGGGGCTCAGTGTAGCCAGGTTCCCAGGTCCCTCCCCTTTCCCCCTCCGGATGGCACCCCAGGGCAGCAAAGGGCTCATGGCACTCAGAGTGGGGCAGGCTCCCAGCACTCAAATGCAGCCACCTCTGGGCTGCAGCAAGGCAGCGGTTAGGCGGAGCACCGCAGCACTGGCTCATAGACTCATAGACTTTAAGGTCAGAAGGGACCATTATGATCATCTAGTCTGACCTCCCGCATGATGCAGGCCACAAAGCCGTCCCAACCCCTTTCCCTTGACTCTGCAGTTGAAGTCCCCAAATCCTGTGGTTTAGAGACTTCAAGTCGCAGAGAATCCTCCAGCTAGCGACCCCTGCCCCATGCTGCGGAGGAAGGCGAAAAACCTCCAGGGCCTCTGCCAATCTACCCTGGAAGAAAATTCCTTCCCGACCCCAAATATGGCGATCAGTAGAACCCCGAGCATGTAGGCAAGATTCTCCAGCCAGACCCTCATTGGCCATTGATACTATTTACCAGCGATGGCACGCTGTTGATTTGACTAAAATCATGTTATCCCATTAGACCATTCCCTCCATAAACTTATCTAGCTTAATCTTAAAGCCAGACAGGTCTTTCGCCCCCACCGTTTCCCTCGGAAGGCTGTTCCAATATTTCACCCCTCTGACGGTTAGAAACCTTCGTCTAATTTCAAGCCTAAACTTCCCCACGGCCA